GACCCTCGGCAAAGGCAGGACAGCGATTCAAGCATGAATGCTCCAGAATCCAGAAACAAGATGCGTTCACTCCCAAATACCAATGGGTCCACACACAGGTGGACCGCCATTCCCGGCCCAACAGAGGCATCTGGCGGCAGGGTAGATGGAGTCCCTGCAGTCACAGAGTCAAACAGGTCCCTGCTCCGCCTCTCCTTCTGCCTCTGTTGAGGCCCCTGGAGTCATCATGCAGCTGTACAGGCACAAGCAGGGGCTGGGAATGAATCAGCGCTCGGGGGAGGTGGGAGTGTGTTGGAGGTGGGTGCCAGCTCCACCCCCGCCTGCCTGTAATTACTAGGCAGTTTAGCACAGTCTGTGGGGGGGGCGGGCGGGGGGCAGCCGACGGCACCAGCTGCCCAAGTGCAGAGCTTCCAGGGACCATGGGCTCTGTGCAGCCACGAGGATGCTTCCCTATCCTGGGTCCTCAAGGAAAGTCACCCAGATGAGGTGGCTGGCTAGGCAACATAGGGCAGACCCTGGCTTGGTGCAAGGAAGGACGGGAGCCAGCCTCAGCCAGCAGTCAATGGCTCCCCACCCATGGTGGTAGCCACAAGCAATGCCAACCCAGGGCAGCTGGCAGAGAGGGCCATGCAAGGCTGAGTGGGTGATATCTAGCTCTGCTTGCCACCTCCCACTCCTGAGTGACCCTGGGGTTGCTCCCCCTACCAGAGCCCAGACCTGTGAACTGAGGAGAAGAGTGGGCCGGGCCTCAGCCTCCGGCCAGCCTGCCTCCTGGAGCTGGGAAGAGGATGGGCCCCTCCCGCTCAGTGGCCAGGTCACACACCACCCCTCCCCTGCAAGACCACCTATCCTGGACAGCTCAGCTCATGGTGCCTGTGGCCAGGAGACAGGGCCTGGCCCAGAGGCCTTGACCTTTGGAAGCCTCAGTCCAGAACAAGACATCAGCAGGAACACAGCTCCCAGCGGCCCCCACCCGCTGCCCTCCCCTCTAACGGTGGCCCCGATAGCCCAGAGCAGCACTGGCCTTCATTCTAGCTCTGAGCCTCAAGTCCACTCTGTCAGTCCCATGAGCCAACTGACCTGCCCAACAAAGGACACCTGCTCGAGGCGGGGACAGCAGGCACCCTCGCCACCCAGCCAGGAGGGCATCAGCACTGCTCCTGGGATATGTGCCCCTGCTAAAGGCTGGCAGTGGTGAGGGCGGGTGACACAGACCACGACATGCACATGGGGAGGAAGTGCAGGCCGGGTCCACTCAGTGACAGCAGGCCCAGTCATCCTGCGGGAAGACAGTGCCCACGGGGACCACCTGGGAAATTATCTCTAAAACCACCATACGCACGTGTGCATGCACACACACATGTACACACGTGGACATGCAAATACACACACACGGACACGCACACCCAGCTGAGCTCAGCACCATGAATTCTCTCCACCTCGGGTGCCAGATCTGCGGCTCCCCAGGTAGGAGGCTCCAATGCCAGGAGGTACCTGTCAGAGACCAACCCCCACCACCTGCCGCCGGGTGGTGAGCTCCGCACATCCTGGGAAGAAGCTGGATGTGGCAGAGAGAAGCAGCCAGGCCTGGGCAGCCAGGCCCTGAGCAGAAAAGCCAGCAGCGGACTCCCTGCCATCCAGCACACGACGCCCACCACCTGGCACCAACCCTTACCAATCACACCAAAGGCGGCAAACCCAACTGGCTCCCAGCTCCAGGAACCCTGTTTCACCCGCCTCCTGGAAGCATGGCTGCAGCCTGGCCAGGCTGGCTTCCCCACCAGCTGCCAGAGTGGCCAGCCAGGGCCAGGAGCCTCGGCACCAGGAAGGCCATGGCCACAGCTCTGCTGTAGCAAGGACTCACACCTCCCCAGATGCTCTCCCACCTCACATGTTCTAAGACAGGTTGTGGGCCAATGGTACTATTCCCAGAAAAGGTGCTGGAGCCACCACGCTCCAGGTCATGGGTCACCTGGGCGCCAGGGCTTCTCTGAGAACACAAGACCGTGAGGAAAACACCCCCATGACAGTCGCCTAGTGCTCCAGGAGCCATAGCCAGCAAGGGAGGCAGCTCCTCAGCACATGGGGATGCTCAGTGCTCCCCCAGCAGAGCTGCAGTTTCAGTAGCCTTAATTCCAAAGGCCACTCAGTCATCTGGGGCAGCGGATTCCAACGCTCCGTCCCTTGATCTGGGCCATCATCAGGGCTCCCTTGAAGGAAGGGGTCTTCCTTGACTTGCCCTCCCAATCCATGCAAGGCCCAGCCCAGGCTCTGCCCCTAGAAGGTTCTCGGCAGACGCCGGAAAGCCCTTCTACTCCCCTCCCCTCCACCTTCCATGAAATTCCCGGAGGACACAGCTCCCAAGGGAACGGAGCCACCAGGAAAGAGGTCAAAGTCTGCATTACAGATTCTTAGAGGAGAGAAAATCAAACTGCGCATTTCATTCTTGCATTTTTAATCAGCAAGGCCAAGGACAGGCATCCTCCTTTGCCAAGGCAAACACCACTCAGAACTGCACTTGGGGCCAGGCAGCGGAGCCACATCGCGGGTGACACACCGAGCAGGCCACAGCCCGGCCATTCCAAGAGGCACTGCCAGGGCTCTGCAAGTGCCAACCCAGGCACAGGTGTGGCAGCCCCTGGCAGGGATGACAGAGGCAGCACCATCCCGGCAGAGGACAGAGCTTGGCACTGCCCGGACCGGCTTGACCGGCCAGGTGTGCACACGGGTAGCTTCGTCGGTCTCCTGACTGTGTCTCTGTGTGGGCCAGGTTTCTGCCTGGCTGACATGCCAAAGCTGCTCAACCAGTACCGGCACTACCACAGCACCCTGAGCTCCCCAGTGACAAAGCACAAAAAGGTAACAGCACCAGGAACCAAAGACTCGGCAGTCAGGCCCCAGGAGCGCAGCAGGAGCCACCTACCTACGAAGCCAACCCCGCCTGCCGGCAGCAGCAACGCCAGCCTCTCACCAGGCAGAGTGTTTCCAGAACAGATCAGCCCTTCAGACACCTACGGCCGACTGCGAACAGCCCTGCTAAATCAAATCACCGACCGCCACATCTTCACCTGCGGAAATCACCAATCAACCCACCCGCCGAATACAAAGGCAGAGGCTGTGTTTCACGTGCTCCAGACCTGCTCCTCGAATCCACAGGGGCTCAGAGTCCCCACGAGCTCAGTCCTGAGTCTTCCTGCCACCCTCCAGCCAACAGATTCCACTCAGAGCTACAAACAAATTACAGCTCCATCTAGGTGATGGCCGACTGCCCAGCCAGGAGAGTTTTATTATGGGTGAACAGGGGGTCAGTCCCCCAGAGCAAAACCACTCCACGCACAACCCCCCAACTTTCACCACGAAAGTTCCTGCTTTCTGGTTTCAGCGCAGCAGAGAAAATAGGAAAAAGGTGCCGCCAGTACTTTCCCGCCACCCTCTGCAATCATGAACAAGTCGTAACGGAACTAACAACTAATAATGTCCTAAACCTGCCTCCCTTAACAGCACGTGCTTCCACAGAGAAACAAGGCCAGAACCGTAGGCCACGGACTCTGTGAAACCAAACAGAAAACCCCAGCGGCTGCTCCTTTCCCGTGCGTGCGACTCCTGAGGTCACTGTGAATCCTGTTTACCGGTGGTTCTGACAATGGCTTTAGGGCTGATCTAGCAGACCGCACCTGACTTCCAGACCGACACGGCCCCAACTTCACAAGCTTTATTGAAAGCTGTATTCAGGTGCAATCTGCGCCTCCCACCTCCCCCCACCCCACTCCAGCTGGAACCAGAGGGGCCGCCCCAGAAGCCTCCATCTGGCTCTCCAAAGCCTGAGCGCTAAGAGGGCTTCGCAGGCCCCTGGCCACGCACACCTTGGCCTCCTGACACAATTAGAAACTGTTACTCTGCCGCGCAGGGCGCAATCCGGTGAGGCATGAACCAGCAACTGCCGGGTAAATGCCCACCCCACTGGTCACTCAGCCTGTTGCTGAACCTTGAGACAGTTTTGAAACAAAACACATCTCTGCTGTAACAGATCGCCCAGGACCCAGGGCCCCCCAGGGCCAGGGTTTCTTCTGAGAAAATGCCCCCCAGGAGGTGCTGCGCTCAGGAGTGGGGGTCTGGACCGAGAACGGATGCTGAAGAAAGACAAAACCAAGGGCCTGTGGGTCAGTATCCCAGCGACAAAAACCACGAGCGGGGGGCTGGGCGGCAGGGGAGGTTTCCAGCGAGGCTCTGCGGCCCTCGGATGTGAGCCTGTCATTTCACAGACGAGAACGTGGATGCCACTCTCAACACATCTAAAGCGAAGGCAGGCACGTCAGCCTCCTACACAATTAGTCTTCTCTCTCCGCGGTTACATAAGATGATGGATTATCCGTCCACACATCCAACCTGCCCGCGCTCCGACCTCCCACCTTAGGCCCTGGCAGCGGCGCCGGGCAGGAGTTGCGGAAAGGCAAAGCCTGTTGAGAAGGAAGTGCCCGAGGTTCGCGCAACCGCGCCTGGAGGAGCCCACGGTGCCGCCGCGCCGGCCGCGGCCTGCAGGCAGCCCCCACGCCGCCCCGGCCACCGCAGCCCCTGCGCCCGCTGCCCCCGCCCCGCCCCGCCCCGCCCGGGTCTGCGACAGCCCAGACGGGTCCGAGGGCTCCCGGGGCCCCGCGCGCGGCTCCGTTCCCGCGGGCGCCAGAGTGGGCGCGCGGGCGCCGCGCAGGGCCGTCGGGGCTGGGGACGCCCCCCGGGCCTGGGGCTGAGGCCGGCCGGGCCGCCCGGGCGTCGGGTGGGGGGCGGGCGGGGAGGCCACCTGTGAGCGGCCGGCGCCGGGCTCGCCACCCCCGCAGCCCAGGGCGCCGGCGGCCGCGCAGGGAACAACCCCCGAAGTCCCGGCCTCCTGGTCCCGCGCGCGGCCCCGGGGCCGCCCTGGTCGGGCTGGGGAGAGCCGGCGGCGCGGAACTCGGGCGCACCCGGAGCGGGCTCAGCTTGGCTCCGGAGTAGCGAGGGGAACTCACCTTATAGACATTTTCCGTGAGCCGGTGCATCTCCTCAGAGCGAGAGAGCGACATGGTCGTGGGTCCCCGCTGCACCGCAGACCGGAGCGGGGGCGGAAACGGCGGCGACAGCTGCGGAGCGGAGACAAACGCGGACCAGAACCACAGAGCTCGGCGTCCGGCGGCGGTCACTTTTATAGCCGCCTCAGGCCCCGCCCCTCCGTAGGCCCCGCCCCTGCGTCCCGCCCCCGTCGGGCCCGCATCACCGCCCCCGGTCCCCGCCCCCGCCCAGCGCTGCCGCTGCTAGGCAACCTCCAGGCCCCGCCCCCGCACCGCCCTTTCTATTGGTGAGTTCCGGAGACGGGGGAGGGGGGCGGGATCAGAGGCGGGGCCTGGTGGCCGGCTCCAGGCAGCGATTGGTCGGCGGCAACGTCGATCCTGGGGGAGGTGGGGGAGGCGCGGCGCGGGCTGGGGCCCTGGGAACAGCCTGAGGGGGGCCCGGCAACAGCCGGGCTGGGGGCGGGGAGGCGGGGGCGGGGTGGCGCAGGAAGAAGGAGCAGAAGGTGGGGGGAGGAGAGCGGGGGGGGGGCGCCGGCGGCGAGCGCGCGTGGAGGCGGCACTTCGCGAAGTGGCACTTTGGGGCGGGCGGCCGGCCCGCCGGGTCGCGACCTGGCGCTGCGGGGAGGGGACGCCGGACGCCGCGGGCGGGGCTTGCAGGTGGGAGAAGTCCGGACCGCGCCGCTTTGCAGGTAATCCCGCCGGGCGGGCGGCGATCCCCCGGCCGGCCCCTCAGGGCAGAGAGGAGGACCCTGGAGAGAGCTGGGCCCTGGAGCGGGGGACCACTCGGAGAAATTGCATTTCGGGGGAGCACCGTGAGGAGAGGACTTGGAGGGAGGACCCTGGAGAAGGCGAACTCTGGGGAGGACCCTAGACAGGCAGACGGCGCGTGCGGGCTTGGGGCTGGGATCTTGGGGGAGGGCCCCGAGAAGGGGGATTTGGAGAGGGGACAGGGGCGTTTCCTGCTGGAAGGCCTGGGGACAGGGCGACCCTCAGGGAGAGGGAGGACCCTCTGGGGGCTGCAGATTCTCGTTGGAGACAGTTTACTTGGGGAGAGAGGTCTCCGGGGAAGGCAGGGTCGAGGGTGGCAGGAGACGAGTGGCCCCGAGAACTCTCATGCAGGGGTGGGGGGAGCCCTGGGGGATGGGGAACCTTGTAGAAAGGATGGAGGAGTCAGAGCTGCCTCCAGTTTTTAGGAAGGGTCTTGCTTAAGGGTCCTCCCAAGGGGATTCTGTCCGGGAAGGTGGCCGAGTTGGCACACAGGACTCCCAGTACAATTCCCTTGGAGAAATATTTACGTAAATTAGACCAACATAGAGGAATTATTTGCTTTACATTGTCAAACATCAGATCTGAGCGTTTCCCTTTAATTAAACCTCGCACTCTCCCAGCCTCCCATCCCTGCAATATCAGTCATTCAGTCATTCATTCATTCAACAAGTCAGGACTCTGCACACAGCTGTGCAGGCTGGCCGCAAACCCCCAGACACTGGCAGGGGCTGGGTAAGCCAGTGCAGCACTCATGCGGATGGGAAGAACCGGGAAGTGAGATTCAGGAAGCCTCGCCTCCCCTCCCACCACAGCCTCCTGCCTCCTCTCCTCCGGCTGAATTTCCTTCCAGCTACTGGCCCAGGCTGCTTCCTTTTTCTCTATTGTCTGCAGTGTTTAGGGGTAGATCCCTGTGTATTTATTTTCTAGGATTCTTTTGGTTGCACATGACAGAAAGCCAACTCAAACTGGCTCTGACAAATGAGGACGTTTACCCGAAGGCAGGAGCATCTCCACTGACCCTGACCCCCTTCCTCCGGGCCAGCTCGGTGCTGTGCACTCCGCACCTACGGACCTCACACCGGCCCTAGGACTGACATCCACTGGCCTGAACTGGGTCTGGGCCAGCACGGAGCAGGTGGGGGCACAGCAGCCCTCTCGCCCAAAGGAAAGTTGAATGGCTGGAACCACGGTGACAGATGGAGGCTGGCAGGGCGGTCTGCTCGCTCCAAGAGGGCAGTGAGCCTGGGGACTTTTCTTCTCCAGACCTTGCTGCTCCCACCAGCCGCAACACAGGACAGGGAGGCCCCTCCAGAAAAGCTCCCATGGTCCTGGGTCCCACCCCACCTTCCAGAATCTCCCAAGGTTATTTCCTAGCTGGCCTACACGTGATCGCACTTCTCCATCCAAGGGGACACTCACATTCGGTGACCGACTCAGAGCCCAGGCCGCTTCCCAGGTGGCCAGTGGCTCAGCGGTCTCGGTGCCCGGGCCTGCTCCATCCGCCTGGCAGCTGGGCAGGAGGCTGAATGGCAGGATGGAGGCCATCCCCGAGAAGGGGGTTATCAGAACACCTGCCGCACATGGAGATGACCAGCTCAGCACCCGAGGAGACACCCGCGGCTGACGGCAGGCACAGAGCTGGACGTGGGGGGGGTCCTCGTAGGAGGACCTAGGAATGGAGAACAAGGCCAAGAAACTTGGTGCCCGCCTGGCATCTGCCCTGCACCACCGGCCTCCAGGAAGGTCTCTACCGAGGCTGTGCCCATGTACTCTGCGCTCGCCTTCACCAGCGTCCTGTGAGGCCTTTCTGACTGATGTGGAAGGCTTTCTAAAGGGCATAGGTGTCTGGGGTCTGGGGGGCTGAGTACCAAGGGTCCTGGGGATAGACAGGCCAGGCTTACGGGCTGGGCATCCGGAGATTGCCGTGACGCCAGCTCCAGGTGGAGCTAGGAGGTCACTCTTGTCCCGACACATTTTATTTTGGAGACATTCACAGACCACTCCTTGCTCCTGTTCCCCTTGACTGTTGAAGAGTACAGTGGGGTACACACTGCACAACCTGACTGCTTGCCTGAAGGTTGGGCAGCGTGGCCGGAAATTGCAGCCCAGACCTGGGATCTCACCCACGCCTCTACAAGACGGCCCAAAGGAAACCAGTGTCTTGGCAGAGAGGCTTCGCCCTGCCACCTCCTCCCAGGAAGAAAGAGCAGAAGAGGTGTCGCCAGCCACTGAGACAGCCAGCCACCACCTCCTCCCAGACCCTCGGTCCGCACCCCAGACCGGGGTCAGCTTCCTGCACTGGCGGTGGGGTGGGGTAGGTTTCCAAAATCCAGACTGCGGGGTGGAGGTGGGAGCAGGTTTCTGTAATGAGCAGCTCATGGGGGTCACTGAGGAGGCGGCAGGCGGAGCCCGTACACTGCAGGTCTCCTCTCGTGAGCGCCAGCCCTTGCTTGGGTGGCCAGCGGATCTTTCGCACTCTAGCTCTGAGCCGGGGGTCTGCAGCCCCGGCGCCAGCGATGGGCCCTCATGCACATAGGGTGCCGAGCAGGGCCAGGCCAAGAGTGGCTTCAGACAAGAACCCGACCCCACAGCTGGTGATGCCGACCCTGGTCAGCCGGCACTGTGGGCCGCTGGGGAGAAGAGGGCTGGAGGCAGAGAGTGAGAGTGTGTAGCCTTCATCAGCTTATTTTTAGTCGAGTTATGTAAGTGGCTTCATCTCAACGTCACATGGGGGGGGTCTCAGATTTAATTACAGGATGACAGCCTTTGCTTTTCAAGCAAGCTGTTCTCCTGGCAAGGCAGGCGAAGGATTGGGAAGTTCTGCTCAACAGAAGGAGCCCCTTCCCAGGTGACCACCCAGCAAACTTGAACCTGCTTTCACCTCCTTCTCCCTCTTCCTGACCAGCCTCACCCCGCCTCAGCTGAGCGCAGCCTGAGAGTAGCCACGTGTCGGCAATCCCGGGGACGTTTTATGCCTGTCAAGGGAGCTTCCCCTCTCCCCTTCCTCTCCCTTCCCACCCTCTGCCTGACAGCTTTGCCTTCTCTCCCAGAGAAGGGTCCGCCCAATCAGAACTCCTCTTCCCTCTTTTCATTCCTGGATTAAAGCATTTGTAATCAGTAACCAGAAAATTCCAGAGCGGGAGAGATCGGAGGGCACCCGAGCCCAGTCAGACGGGCATCTGGGGCGGAGCCAGGAGGGCTAGCCTTTTCCCCTGCCTACCTTTCTTCCACACTTCTCCTCCATGCCAGGTGCTGTGGGAGCAGCTGTCCACATGAAGTCCGGAGCACCATTTGCCTTCTGCATGGGCTGGACGGGCTCCCTCGTTGTTCACCACCTGCAGCGTTACCGGCAAGAAGGCAAAGGCGGGAGCGCATCGAGGGTGGGAGCCAGGGCTCGGGGTCGGGGTGTCGCTCCCTGCGGCGGGAAGCCGGGCTCAGCCGCCTCCAGCCCACTTTGGCTTTGTCCAGTGTAAAAGGCAGAGCCAGGTTTCTGGTGCAGGCCGTTTCTCGCCAGGGCAAGAGGGACAGGGTGAGCACTGACGTGGCAGGCACGGTATGCGCTTGGAGGGGGGGTGGCGCCAAGGGAGCGTCGGCCGGCATAGGCAGGCCCAGTGGCCACTGTGCTAGATGCCGGGCTGGTCGCTGGGGGTAGGTGCCACTGCCTCTTTGAGCCCCTCTAAGTGCAGGGCAGAACGTTTTGGGAGGAATGCAGGCATAAAGGGACATAAACAGTATGGAGAATGGGACCAGCATGCTGGAGAGGCCATTGCTATCATCTGCGACTGGATGGGACATTCTGAAGAGCTTCTGACGCGACACAAATGGTCGCTCTGGAGGTGGACCTTTAAAAGTAAGGGGCCTGGCCAGGCTTGGTGGATTGTGCCTGTAATCCCAGCATTTTGGGAGGCTGAGGCAGGCAGATCTCCTGGGGTCAGGAGTTCGAGACCAGCCTGGTGAACCCCCATCTCTGCTAAAATTACAAAAAATTAGCCAGGTGTGGTAGCGTACCCCTGTAATCTCAGCTGCCTGGGAAGCTGAGGGAGGAGGATCGCTTGAACCCGAGAGTCAGGGAGCCAAGATCATGCCATTGCACTCCAGCCTGGGCGACAAGATGGAAACTTTGTCTCTAAATAAATAAATAAAAGGAAGGGGCACGGGGAGGGAGCCCAGCTCCACCCGCTTCCGTTTGGGCTGCATATGGTGACTTCCTTCCAAAGAGCCCCGTGTGGGGGTGGGCGAGGTGTCTGCACAGCGGAGAACCAACCCATTGTCTCAGCCTGGAGGTCAGGGCTGGTACCACTGCCGAGAGGTCGTGGGGGCAGATGTGACGGGAGGGCGCTCCACCAGTGGGCTCTTCCTCC